GGGCTAATCGTGCGTTTCCTTTGTTGGCACGGCTCTCTCGCTTAGGCAGGACTCTTTTGCCCTGGTACATATTGGCAGGCTTCGACCCCAGCGTATCTTCAGCGAGATCATTTGACAAAATCTTCTCTTCAGTGGCGATGTATCGTATATTTGGCGCTATGCACCCAATTCGATTCATCAGATTACCGCTTGTTCGTTCGGACATATGGGATTGACTGCATAAAATAAAATGAACGTTAACTAAGAAATAAACGACTAGCGCTCTTTCTCTCTCTACCCCTTACTCACACGACTTTCTCTGTTTCTCGCTTCTGCCCACTCACAGACCTTCGTTTACTATTTTGTTACCCCGTCTCTTCCCTGCTTCGTCAGTTTTCCTTAGTGTATGGACATATTGTGGATAGGGTGGTGAATAATTATGTATCAAAGCCTTCAGACATATTGTGCCTGTGGTAACCAAATATTTCGTGCAATATATAACTTACATCATGATATGTACGGAATAAATAACATGTTAAGATTGTGGTTTCTGACAATATGAGCTCGGATTCCCAAATAAATCGAAACAACTCGCTTTCTGTAAAACCTTGCTGGATACATCGCGCAAACCTTATTGCAAATAGTTCTTCGTTCGCTACTCTTGTGGTTAGCAAGGGTATCTGGCGACTTCGCATTTTTTTGGCGGTAATAGTCAAGAGGATAACTCGTTTCGTTCTTAACGTCACGGCTGCTTCCGTGATGGCGGCAATGACGTCAGCGCTCTGACCTCCACTGACCTCTGGGTGTGACGTCTTAAAGCTGACCTCGCGTTATGTGTGCTCGTGGCACTTCCGCAGAGACGGTCCGGTTCAGATTCGAATGACTGCAGTGAGGTCACAGCAATGGAGAGAGGGGGGCAGGCAACACACGGTGAGTATATCAGGAGTGAATAATAATAGATCTCTAATAATAAAAGATAAATATATTATTATTCACTTCTGATTATATCGCTATAGTGCTTATCATCTCTAGTGCTGCACACACAACCATGACCAATCATTCACAGTATTTTACGGATTTTATTCAACACGTGTACGACATATAAAAGAAGGAAATACAGCCGATGCTACAGGCTGTATCTACCATAGAATCAAATAACGCGACCCGAGACTGGCAACGAGAGAGCGCTACTACTAATCACTAACTGCCACCACCCAACCATACATGGTTAGATAATTATGCGACACCACAGCCCAGTATATTCTAATACGGTAAATAGAGAAAATAAATGCTCTTTAACAATGTACGAATACAGTCAGAGGTAAAACCAAAAATGTTTATGCAACGCGTTTCCTACTACAGTGCCGCGTTCGTACGTGATAATATATTTTGGTAAGGACGACATGGACGCCCTGATAATTGGAGAGGCAATCAATAATAAGACACCAGCTATGCTATAATGGGAAAGACCACTATAGATCACTTGTCTTCCCCTTCATAGTACAGCTGGGGCCTGACTATTGATTTCGTTGCGAAGAATTATTAGTGCGTCCGTGTCGTTCGTCCCTGTTACATATTTTGTTTGTGTTGTATATATATGTGTATATATATATATATAAAGAGCGAAAGGGAGAAGTTAGTGATGAAGAAGATAGTGGTCACTATGTAACAACCACCGATACTTATTGCCCGTAATACTAAAACTAAGCTGTAGGTGGAAGTTTCTGTCCGCATGCGCATACTCCATGTGCAATTTTTAATATCGTATATATCAGTCTAAAAACATAATCAACCCAAAAATCATCTGAGAATCATTCAATTCGAGAATCATTTGAATCTGTGATTATATATAATAGGCAATCAAAGCGCGTGATCAGTGTCCCTACTACAGCCAGCCCAACATGGACTGCATAATTAAGCTAGTTTCCAGTACCTATCGTTGAAAGGCTATTATTTACATTGCTGCTTACTCATTACCAGCCTAGCTTCACAAGTAGGATTCAACGATATAAATTTGCTTACTCGGCATTCCATTCCCTTATTTCTGACCATTTAAACAAGCCTAGGATCACTACTAGCCATATTATTATATATATTAAATTATATATATATTATTTATAGAAATTTACGAGTTATGAATTCTGATGACTTAAAAATTTTCAAAATTCATCTAGTACTGTTGTGTTCAGTCATTGCAGCACTACAGAATTTTCACATTCCACATGTCCCTCCCGGCGTAATAAGTACCGGTGGTTGTTATATCGTATACCCACCGAAGACACGCAATACGTTCACTCTATGCGTCTGAGCCACTGATCTCTACTATACTAAGTAGTATAGTAGAGTAGTTAGTATAGTAGAGATCAGTGATCTGAGCGTCTTCCCCAACATTCAAGCGATGCACGGTGATGACTCACGCAAGCTTACATCTCATAATTATGATCTCATTTGCGTTCGACTATCTATGACTCACGTTCCAGTAAGTGGCGTCACCTCTCGGTTAAAATCGTACTCTTCAGTCAGTTAAATAATTCTGATCTAATTCGCCCCCGTACAGCTGAATCACAGCCGTCACAACTCTCATTGCGGTCGGTGTTGCACAGTGTTCACATGCACTATGAAGAGTTTATCTTTTCACGTTGCTAGGTTACATACTGCTGCTTAGGATTTCACAATTACATTTATTTTATCATTAGAGAAAGCAGTAATGTGTGTCCGTCATGTTTATGTCATGGTCTGAACCATTTATATGTGTATCCTCATAACCTCAAAACATCCTATATAGTATTTTTCAAACTCCAAGAGACTGTATCGAAGAAGCTGTACCGTAACAAGGTTATGAATAGATATATCAATACTGTGAATTGCTGTGAACAAGTTTTAGTTTTACAATTAACTAGAGAAGAAGAAAACGAATTCTAATGTAGAATGACAAAAATGATCAAAACACGTAAACGTGAATGAATCTTTCGCAGACGACGCATAGCGAAAGCAGTAATTATGCAGACACAGCTGGTCGAATACAACGAATTGGCTTCATCGAGCAAAAGGAAATACCAATTTTCACATGACCAGGATAAATCTGGTAAAATGTTGTTTCGCATTGTCACAGAAATGCATTTCTTTTAGCGCAACATATCTGCCGGTATTCTGCGCACCCTAAAGGTTGGATTAATATTATACTCCAAGACTGCGCTTTACATTGAATTATGTCCAGCTGCACTAGCATTATATTGAAACAGAATTTCATCGACTTTATTAAATTCAATAAACCCCTAACCAAAGGTAATTTCAATGATAATTGAATTATAATTTGTAGTAATAACTACCATAATAATGTTATGTATGTATAACCTATATAACCTGGTAAAACATGATAATTCATTTAAAGCTTAAATAAATCTCGTATAACTCATTTTCCGACTATCGTATCTCGTAATTAACGAACTAATATCGTAAAGTAATCAAGTTTTCTACATTAAAAACATATAACACATTTATAGTGTGGTTAACAAATAACTAACTATTACTAAAAATTAAAAAGTATTATTATATTTTATTATTACATTATTCATATTACTGAGATTCAAAAGTGTTGCTATATCTATGTGTTGCTATTCTATATCTATATGCTTGTCATATTTCACCCGTATTTTTCCGTATAAACAATCACACTCACATCTTCCGTGTGAACGCCTATATGTACTCATTGCATTTTGTTGATCTCGTAGTATTTATAGAAAGATCGCATTAGCCAATTGTGATTGGAAGATCAAAGCATACGAACACTACTGTTAGTAGCGCAGCAACGGATAAATGTAGTGCATGTAATTACCGCAGAAATATTGCAACTGCAATCCGACAAGCTAAGGCTTGTGTGGGGGATAACACCAACCAATACGACAAGCACGCTTTCGAAAGCGCGACGTAATCAATAATATAGTATAGGGCCAAGAAAATGCAATCTAGGGAGGACCGATGCTACTGGGGGACCGTGATGCGCTGTATATTCTCAACTGTGATGGCTATTATAAGCTTTTCGCATGCACACACATCTGCACGTGTTCGCGACTGCATAATTCATCCAATTAAACGCCCAATAATGAACGATTTTCAATCGAGCTTTTTGCTATCGTGCACTCCGGAACAGCGAGGTGAAGCGTACGGCCAGCCATTCAGGCTCCCGCATAGGCCACGCATCGCGCAGGTGTAGTAGCTACTGCTGCAACAGCACTCATATGCCTAGCGTGTATATATTCGCACAAAGCGTCACAATGACGACACCGCTGCTCACTGTCATCTCTTGTACGATGATGCACGCGCGAGTTCGGAGGCGGAGTGTCACGGAAAGCGCCGTGCAGCGATAAGCGTTGTCTGCACGATGATATGTGTTCGACATGAATTTGCGTATGATGGCCTGGCGAAGATCGGCTTATGCGGTGCATGTGGAATATGACTCTCTGTCAACGCCTTGTCTACATCGCTGTCGAATCCATCGATCTTGCCGGAACCATATTCCGACCCATTAGGGCGAGACGGGGACAGCTGGAAGGACGCCGTTGCTTATGCGAACGTAGATTTTTTTTCAGTGCGAACTCATGGTCAGGCGGTTCTAGATAAGTGGACATCGGCAGGGCTCTTGGCACACAACTGAACGGACGCGGGAAGTAATTAGTCCTGGGTAATTGCGAGCACGTCTGATAGATTATAGCAGTGACGGTCCCGGCGTTCGTTCCATCGCTGTGCAGCGGGGTGTAGGGTAGTGGGATCTGCATTTCTTCTTCGACCGTGTGGAGCGTACAGGCGGAGCGCGTGAGACGACAGCTAGCTGCCGACGTGTGTGTACAGATGCAGACGCCAGCATGACAACGGCGATTAATACGAGGCGAATTTCACCCGACGAGGGGAAATCCGTCAAGTATACGTTATGTTCCAAGGAGGACGACGGGGAGGAGGAGGAGGAAGGCGAGGGGGAGGAGGAGGAGGAGGAGAAAGCCGAACTTCTTAGCGACGATCAAGCGATGGACGGCGGCGTAGAGTGCGTTGAGGTGTTGGTCGTGGATGAGAAGAACGGTCAGCAGAAGTACGGCGCCGTCAGTAAAGAGTCCGATTCGCCGACATTCCGTGGCCACCCGGCGCCACCAGATACGCCTAACGGACCGAAGTCCGATAAGAATAGCAGCGGTGCCGCCGGTCAGGACGACAGGACGAAGCTCATCGGAGAGAGGCTGAGTTCGGCCGGATCGGTCGCGAAGACGGGAACGCCGTCGCCCGTGTTTACGCGAATGACGAGCACGAGACTCGACGGCGCTCGCCCGAAGCCACTGCCACGCCGCCAGAAGAGCATCGTCGACATTCTCACGCGAAAGCTGTCGATGACCGAGCGGCGGCCGCAGAGGTACTCCAAGGAGGAGGTGTCGTACGTCAACAAGGCGCACTTCCAGTCGGTCTCCGAGATCAGCCCGCAGAAGCGACAGCAGCGGCGCAAGGAGATACGGGAGAAGTTCGAGAAATGGGAGACGTCGACGTCCAGCTCCGAACGCCACTGGTGCAGTCGCTGGACGTTCGTGTTCGACCCCTCCGGGCGTCTCGCCTACTACTGGTCGAGCATCATGAGCATGGCCTTTCTGTATAACTTCTGGATTCTCGTTTACCGATTCGCATTTGACGAAATCACACACGATACACTAATAGTGTGGTTTTCCTTGGATTACCTCGCGGACCTCATCTATATTATTGACGTCGGTGTCGGCTTTAGGACGGGCTATCTCGAAGACGGCGTCCTGTCGACGGACCCAGTTAAACTTCGCAAGCACTACATGAATTGTACGCGATTCTATATCGACTGTTTGTGTCTGGTGCCGTTGGACTTTTTGTACTTGTCCATCGGCTTCTGCTCAATCTTGCGAGGATTTCGGCTCGTAAAGATCTACCGATTCTGGGGTTTCCTAGATCGCACTGAGCGTCACACCAACTATCCAAACGTCGTGCGCACGCTAAATCTCATCCACACCCTGCTGGCGATATTCCACTGGAACGCCTGCTTTTACTTCATAATCACGGCGAAGATTGGATCGGATTACGATTCCTGGTCGTATCGACGCGAGCCAGAGAACAAACTTCGCAATTACCTGCATTCGTTTTATTGGAGCACGCGGGCATTGACGATGATCGGCGATCTACCGCAGCCACGAACTAAGGCCCAGTACGTCTTCTGTGTCCTCGAGATCATATTCGGTCTATTTCTGTTCGCCACCGTTCTGGGGCACGTCAGCAACATTGTGACCAATGTTAGTGCTGCCAGGAAGGAGTTCCAAGGTGAGTGTTGCAACGTCGTGTGATTAGTTTCGTAGCAGTAGGATGTATATATACTTACCTGCCTATCTATCTGTCTATCTATTAGTCTATCCATCCATCCATTCATCCATCCATCCAATACTATCCTACATCCATCCAATATCCATCCATCATCAATCCATTCATCATCACCCATCCTCCACCATACCAGTCCATCATCCATCCATCCATCATTCTATTCATCTATCACATCCATCTATCTATTCATCTATTTATTCATCCATCCATTATCCATCCATCTACCTATCCATTTATTACTCCATCTATCCATCCATTTAATTCTTCATCCATCTATCCATCATACGATCTATCTATCTAACTCTTGTCTATTAGCTATTTATCAACCTGTTTTGTCTGCTCCGTCTTCAGTTCCGCGCCGCCCTCTAATCCTTCATTCCAGCCCGTCTGTCCGTCTCGTTCGTATCTGTCGTCCCGCTCGCGGCGCCGATCTATCCAATTTATCAGTTCCGTCCGTCGGTTGGTCATCGGTCTGCAAATCCGTAACTACCTGCTTTCCGCGCCTGCCTGCCCGCCTGTCGCATCCGCGCCCAAGCCCGAATCACCCGCCCCCTGTATCTTGACTCAGCGTACACCTCTACCCAGCCACCACTCCCCCGGGATCATCTAGCATTCATTCATTTCACTTGTCCATCCATCCTTCATCCATCCCTCGTCTACTTCCTCTCAGTTCTTTCTCGTTCATCCTTGTTATTCTCGCTTCTCTCTCTCTGCGGGGGTGCGGGTGCGTGGGCGGGGATCAGCTTTCTCTCTCTCTCTCTCTTGTCTCTCGTCTCTCTCTCATCTCTTGTCTGCCCTCCAATGGTCTCTATCCTCTCTCTCACGTTGTCTCTCCATCTCTCTCTAATCTCCTCTCTCCACTCTCTCTCTCTCTCTCTTTAGATATATAATATTACTATATTATATATTATATATATATACATATATAACTATTATGGATAATTCTATCTATTGATATATTTTAATCATTATTCTCCATTATTGTTCGTGTGAAATACCGCATATGTATTGTAGTTAGCCGTTATAAGGTTACCCGATTCTTGCGGAAAAGATCGTAATTATGTTTCTCCGATGCTGAATAATCAATGCACATCCACATATAGAGAGCGAAACTTGAAAGCACAAAGAGAGCGCGTCGAGAGACGACGCGCGGCAGACGGAATGACGAATTCAGGTTGATTTGTAATTAATAACAACAATTAACGTTGAAAATGAGCAAGAGTCATGTGCGAGAAGTATGATATCAATCAGACTTATAAAACGAAGGTTCTTTAATTTATTAATGTTCTTGATGATATTTCGTTTTGTAGATCATATCTTATGCGCACACGTTACGACCATATGTTCAATATCATGCGTGTAATTGCAGTATTTATATAAATCAAGAGCGATAAAAGCGCCTATCGTTTACTCTGCCTCTTGAATTAAATACATGTGTGTACGCCAAAATTGTAAGACACCAAACAAACGTATATGTATAATACGGTGCGGTTAATTGTGCGGAAATGGCATGGGCCTGCGTACGATGAGGGCCTTTGCTGTAGAATGAATCTGTCCATGGCCTATGTTTAGGCCCGCGTGTCGTGTAAAATGCAGTAGACCGTGCCAAACGCATGCGGACTATGTTAGTGGTACTGTCTGTTAATTCTGATTTAACACCTCAAATTGACCTTCGGCCACTAGCTAACCGCTCAAAAACTTATTGTATTATCATTTTGTATTAATCGTTATGACAATAAGTTGTATGTATACGTATTTTTTACGTTCTATATAACGTAAATATGGATATGATAGCGTGTTATTACAACGTTTTCTAATAACGTCTGTAAAAACGTTTTATATAACGTTATTTGTTATGCGGTCTGGCAACGTTCGAGATAGATTCATTTTTATTAATTATTCACATAACCGTCGTTATAACGTGGATTTATCTACTGAAAATTAATTTGTGTATGTGCGGCTGTGGCGGGGGTTGTTGATGGGGCTGACAGTTGAGTTAGTTATATCTTTGGTATATATAGGTGTGATAGTGTACAGTATATTATATAATAAGTATATATATATATTATATACTATATTACCGAACATACTAATACAAAGATCCGAGTGATGTTTACGCTGAGGGCTGGGAGCATATATACACTTAGGTGAAACGTATTTTACAACTAATAAGAAACTGCTGCCACAATACCGAGTGCAAATCAAGCCACAAGTTCCCGAAAAGTCAAAAATACGAAAAAGTGTAAAAAGGTTTTAAATCCAGAATTTAAAATTACAAACTTATCAATATATATAACAGAGTCTTTGATTTACAGTACGGGGGTGATAAGCGATATATATATATTATCCTCATATTCACATCAAAACATCAAGTCTGAGTTAAGAAATTTATATGAAATATATGCGGCTATCCTAGATTGCGGATATATCCCACATACAACTATAATACACGGGGGTTAATTTACTGAATACAACAACATGCACAGGTACACATTATTTTACCTTCCGCAAGGGGTGGCAGCCGAGCGTTGTTCATCATGCGTACGTTTTGGCAGGGACCAACCGCGCCAGAGAGGGCGAGATTGTGGGTTTCTTGTGTACAGCCTAACTGAAAATGTTATGACGGATTGTCATAAAAATTCGGAAGTAGGGTCAGAAATGGGCTAACTTAGAACTGATTAGATTTTGGTTGTGATCCGGATCCAATTAATTAATTAGTGAATTAATTAATAACATTTTCAGGATAGGTCAAAAATGGGCTAACTTAGAACTGATTAGATTTTGGTGGTGATCCAGATCCAATTAATTAATTCATAAAAATCTTTACAGTGACAGAATTGAGCTGCCTTGGCGAAGGTCTGTGCTCTCCGAGTGCTCTAGTTATATAATACTATACACATATACATATGAAATCACGAACCTTCCTATATAATACTTTCAGAAATGAATAAAAGCATAATTACAATCAAGCTAATAAGATGTTGCTAATAAAATAACGCCTTCATCCTGGGTAGGGGCAGTGATGCTTGGAACGCAATTAGGACTCTAAGCAACCAGGTGTCTAGGGCTATTAGGAGTCTCGATATTTCAATTAAATTTCAATTTTTTTTTAACAATTTTCAATTTCAAATGTTTTTTTTATCAGAAATTTAATTGGATTTGGCGTCAGCGTTATAAAAAATGATAACGACAGTCTGTCATTTAAAAAATCTTTGATTTCCGTCATTATGCTAATTTCCTGATTCATTCCATTTACATTTTATAGTACACTTGTAACAACGTAAAGTAAATAACGCACATGAGTTGTCTTGAACAAACTGTATGACACGACTATAAGAACATAACATGCGAATTGTCCATGTCGTGGATTAATGTTGGCCTAAAATAGTAACAAATTGACTGACCTTGGCCAAGATTGGCTAATAAGCCTTATTATAGCAACTACATTGAGCAATTCGGCATTATTTATGAATAGGTAATCTGTTGTGAGTGTTATCAAAACGATGCTAATGATACCCAGATTAATGGCTAATTCTGATTAAAGCGATCTTCCTCTGGGAGTAATTGCATACCGTATTCATTTTTCATATTTATTCACACAAATAACACGAGAACCACAGAACCAAATAAAATAGTGGTATATATATATATATACGTTTACTGATGTCACTATATGACGTTAGTACAGTGGTTCCCGCTTCATCGGATCGGGCTTCGGATAAATTCGCACGTCCTTGAAAATAAATTATTACGTACATTGTCATGGTTCCCGACCGGTCACGATAACGCCAGGACTACTGTGTGTATACACGCAATCTAAGCATAGAATAGCTGCAGTTCTGCGCACACCATTTTCTGTTGCAATCAGCGGTTAGGTAGCGCTGTATTGATCCCCGTCTATAAACGCAACGAAGCGTGTGCATAGGCAAGCATGCATCTATTACGCAATACAAAGATACCGATAAATATTCATGGAGATCGAATGGCCCCGTTTAATTCCAGCGAGTCAACATAGCCGACAGCTGTCAAGCAGACCATGTTAATTGAGCATTAAATATCACCGCGCGTGCATACGTTTCGTGAATCAATCACTCACATACGGGTTGCTAAAAGGATAATACACTGCGCATTTAAATGCTCAGTAATAGTAATAGTAAAGCTGGCAGCACACTTCACCATTTTCTTTGATCGTACAGGCAATTTTCGTGGTCACCACAAAAATGGCCAAGTGTGCGGGGGCCGGCAACGACCACTCACCACGGAAATTTAGTGGTGACCACGAGTTGCCGAGAATCAAACCGGTTTGATTTCTCACCACGAAAATTGCTCGTGGTGGCAACTTGTGGTAAAGTGTGCGCCAAGCCACCACGGCAATCGGCAACAAAATCACTCGCAGACCAATCAAAATTAGCGCTGCCGTCACATGATTTCAAAATGGGCCAAATACAAATATACAGATATACAAATATACAAATATACAAACATACAAAAATATAAATATACAAATATACAAACATACAAAAATATAAATATACAAATATAGGGCCCCTAGGCCTAAGTAACAGAAATGTTGAATATACAAATATACAAACATACAAAAATACAAATATACAAATATAGGGTCCCTAGGCCTAAGTAACAGAAATATTGATAACATTTTTATATTTCCTTTATTTGATAACTGTATATGAATGGGTTAAAGCTACAACATCTGGCAACAAAAATTGCCGACCACGAAAATTGCCTGTACGAGCAACGAAAATGGTGAAGTGTGCTGCATGCTTAAAGCTCGAAGTTCCTCGTACCGCAATTTCCGCACGCCGCGATTTGCAAACGCTACATGCATAGCATCAAAATGATAGCATCAAGAGCTAATAATACCTTAGCATTGGTATTTATTAGCTCTTGATAGTATCTCTATTGTGTCTTCCTAAATAGGATGT